ACGGTCCTTCAAGGGCACGGCGGTTGTTTGGCAGTCATTGCGGATCAATATGATGGCTTGTGGATGTTGAACTCCTCAACTGAAGTTATGTCCTTGACAGCCATGGAACTGTTCGGATTCAACGTCGGGGGGTTTGTGCAGAAACCAGCTGGTTAGCTTCTCAGTGTTTGTCATTGTGTTCTGTCTTGCGTAGTAGGTGCCCATTGTTCATTTGTTATAGCTTGTTGCTTGACTGATCAGGTACAGCCAGAGGGGAAAAAACGATTGCGTGCCGTGGATCCTCGAGAAAGACACCGATTTGCTGTGCAAGGTTGCAGATTCTAGTAAGACCCTTCACTGCTTGTCCGACATCGCTTGCAATGTGACCCAGCAGCTGGGCCTCACAGAACTATCGGTGGTCGACCATACGCTCACACAGCAGATGAAGGACTATATTTGACAAGTATGTCAGTCTAAATGGGGTGCTGTTTGCTCATGACGCACGCTTGTATTGTTGTGTGTTGCGTTGCCAAATCATTCACGCAGGACGACGTGGCGCAACCCTTCAGGTACAAGGTCACCGCTGCGCCACGTGTATATTGCTACGAACCCAAGAAACTTCCGGAGAACGCAAGTTTGACTGAACTGCGCGCAAGCGTGTTCGGAGCATACTTCTTGGGAAAGTTTGGCAAGCTTCCCAAGTCCAAAATGGCAGGACTTCTTTGGGAGGCTCAATGAGTCAACAAAATTGGTACCATTAGTCTGAGTCAGTCAGCTGCTTCATTTGTCATTCTTTGAATGTTCTTCTGACTTTCACGGAGGTAGCCCTGGACCACAATGTGATCAAGGCGACGAAGCCAAAGTACTGGCTGACCTGCCGCATTGACATCCCGGCTCAAACTGCAGTGAAATTGGAATAGTTCCACAAGCTTCGCTTCCCAAACTGCTGCTGTTCGCAATTTTGTAAGATTTTGTAAGTAAAGCAGAGAGTGTGTTGCTTCCCAGCTACTCCACCGCTGCAGCAGTTGCCTATTAGCTTGGATTTGATTCCAATGACTTTTGAAGGCCACGTCGCGTGGCATTGGCTGCTACAGCGTAGTGATGTTGAGGTGTTGCCGTTTAAACAGTAAAGGTTTATAACCAGCTCACAAACCTGGAATTATGATGCCACTGATGTTGCTGTGAATGTGTCATACTTGCCAAGCTTTTCAGGCTTACATGTCGTTCAAAGGTCGCGCATTGCATCAGGCTAGCAGTCAATGACCCATCAAACCTCAGATCCTCGTGAACTGCTGATTCAAAAAGTGGCTGATTTTGATAATTGTTTTGCGCGACTTCATCAGCCAAAGTCATTGCTGAATGTGCGAGATTATTCTGTCACTCCTTTACCTTGTTGCTGGGAACATGCAGCTTCAATGATTTAGATCAATAGTACCGCTCAATGGAGTGGCCGGCTGTGCAGAGTTTGTCAGACGAGGAGGCTCAGGCTCAGTCAGGTACAAGCGTGGCAGTGCCAGCAGCTGAGGCTCCAGCTGCCTGCGCTGCAGCTCCTGCTGCTGAGGTGCTGGCTGCTGCCAAAGCGGAACAAGAGAAGACCCGCAAACCAGCGCTCAAGAAAAGACCAGCAGCAGCAGCAGCAGCGCCAGCAGAAAAGAAACTGAAGACCGATGAAGCAGTTGGAACGCCAGTTGGTGAAGAGGCAATCGTTGAACAGGACCAGGAGGAGGACGAAGATGCTCCTGTCTTGAGAAAGCCTGCTGCTGCTCCCAAAAGCGCTGCTGCGCCCAAAGCAAAGGCTTCTTGCAAACGACCAGCAGCTTCTGGAAACACAATCATCAAGGCGGTGAAGTATTGGTACTACAAGGACCGCAAGATTGGGATCAAAGTGAATGGCCGCGAGCAAATGACTGTTTGCACCTTAGAAAGATGGTTGCAAGAGTTTTTACATTCGCACGCCCGGTTTCATCCGCCTGAGGTCAAACAGCGTGAAGGGATTACTGACGAAGCTCTAACAAACATCGCGGAGAAGCCCTCAGTGAGTATCAGTGAGTATTTTGTTAGTTGTAAATAGTTGTAAACGTTCTTTTTTCAGTTAGACTGCACTGTTGGGTCAAAGGAAATTTGCCGCGGTGAGTTCGTGAAGGGTGAGGAGAAGGAGGTGGTCAAGCAATTGGCTGCTACTTGTTCAGAGAGTTCTCACAGGCACAAACGGTGTTCTTTATTATGTGAAACCTGAAGCCTCAGTCTCCGATCATCCCAGGAATCTCTTTTGACTGCCGAAGTTGACAGAATCGCTGAGTGTGAGAGGCTGAAGTCGGTAGCAAAACCAGCTGCAGCAAAATCAGCTGCAGCTGCTGCAGGAAAATCTGCTGCAGGATCAAAGGGCGCTGGGCCCCTTTCTTTGGATCCTGAAGGCGAGGAAGAAGAACGCTTGGAGGTTGATCCTGTCATCCAGGATGTCACTTAGGCCAGGGCCACTACTCTCTTGGCATTTTCCATCATGGCTGAAGGCCACGACTTGTTTGGTCATGATGCGCAGTGCTGGGAGGTCTTAAATAAAGTTTTGAGCGAGTTTCAACTCTTCATGTTGCATTATGTCAGTGTTGGCTCTGACTGACAGTTCAACCTCAGTCACTTCAAACATCATTGAGTTCACCAGTCAGTCAAGGACAATGACTGAGTTTTTCACCACTGCGTGCTTGGTGGGTTGTGGCTTTCAGCGCTTTTTCATGGCTTTTGAAACTGAAGAGTAACAGATTCAATGAATCTTGAGGCTCTTGAACCTGACAGCGTGTGAGCAGACTTCCATTTGTCGGAAAAAAAGTCTGCAGACTGATAGCGAGACTGGGTCATGACTGAATGAAAACGCAACATCATCGCAGGACAAGGTGATTAATGTTTTGGGGTGTAGCTGGCCTAGCAGCAACAACAGCAAGAAGGACGACGACAACAACAACAACCAACAACAATAACAACAAGGACAGCAACCCCACCACAAACAACAACACCACCGCCAGCAGCACCAACAACAAACTGCTAACGCCAACGCCAACAGCATTGTGCTGGGGGACCTTGCCACAGAAACGTGCGCACCGATTTGCGCGTCGGATGTTTGTCGATTGTGTGTTTTTCACACCCTGTAGGTTTTTGTGGCACCCTTTGAAGATAATAAGCCACCATGTTTTTGATAAACGTGAATAGTCACCCCTCACTGCGTAGCGAAAGGCGCAAGAGGCAAGCCCACTATTGAAAGTTACCTGCTGAATTTATCTGCAGTACCAAGATGAAGCTGCATGGGTAATGAACTCTTGTGCTGAGTGTAGTAACTGCATCTTCACAGCACTGCAGTTGTGCCACTTGGAAAGTAAACGTGGTAGCGGAGCCACACATTGGTTGGATAGCCGAGCTAATAGTTTACTGCTGCCTCCATCCCATCCCTTTGAGGCAGTTGGCGTCATAGTAATAAAATTGACAGTCCAGACATGCCAACTTTTCGCAACCCTGGTTGTGTTTTGCAATCCCGGTTAGGAAGAAAAATCCTTATTAGGTTAGAGGCCATTGCTATTAGGTTGTGTTAGCGAGATGGCCTCTAACCTCGCAGTGATCATGGCCTCCAACCTAACAGCGATGGCCTGCAACCTATTAGCGATGGCCTCCAACCTATTAGCGATGGGCTCCAACCCAACAGCGATTGCTCCAACCTCTTGGTCTCCGACCCAATAGCGATGGCCTCCAACCTAACAGCGATGGCCTCGAACCTAACAGCGATGGCCTCCGACCTAATAGCGGTGGCCTCGGACCTATTAATAGCGATGGCCACCAACCCATTATAGAGATGGTGTCCGACCTAATAGCGATGGCCTCCGACCTAATAGCGATGGCCTCCAACCTAACAGCAAAGGCCTCCAGCCTATTAGCGATGGCCTCCAACCTATTGGCGATGGCCTCCGACCTAAGGCGATGGTTTCCAAGCTTTTGGCGATGGCCTCTGACCTATGGCGTCGCCTCCAACCTATACTATAGCCATGGCCTCCGACCTAATAGCGATGGTCTCCAACCTAACAGCAATGGCCTCCAACCTATTACCGACGGCCTCCGAGGTAATAGGGATGGCCTCCGACCTAATAGTGATGGCGATGGCCTCCAACCTAATAGCTAGTGATGGCCTCCAAACCATTATGAGACGCCCTCCTACCTAATAGCAATGGCCTCCAACTTAACAGCGATGGCCTCCAACCTTTTTGCGATTGCCTTCGACCTAATAGCTTTGGCTTCCAACCTATTGGTAGCGAGTGCCTCCAACGTATTGTAGTCATGGCCTCCAACCTATAGATGGACGTCAGCCTAATGGTGATGGCCTCCGACCTAATAGCGATGACCTCCAAGCTATTGGTCATGGCCTCCAATCTAATATGGCTTCCGACCTAACAGTGATGGCCTCCAACCTAACAGCGACGGCCTTCAATGTAATAGCGATGGCCTCCGACCTATAATATAGCCATGGCCTCCAATGTATTAGCGATGGCCTCCGAGCTAATATAGGGATGGCCTCCAAACAGCGATGGCCTCCAACCTAATAGCAATGGCTTCCATTCTATTATAGCGATGGCCTCCAACCTAGAAGCAATGACCTCCAACCTATTGTTGATGGCCTCCGGCCTAATGGCAATGGCCTCCGACCTAAGAGCGGTAGCCTTCAATCTAACAGCGAATGGCCTCCTCCAACCTATTGGCGATGCCCTCCGCTCTAAGAGCGATGCCCTCCGACCAAAGAGCGATGGCCTCCAACCTAGTAGCAATGGCCGCCAACCTAGTAGCGATGGCCTCCTCCCTAATAGCAATGGCCTCCAACCTGATGGCCTCCAACGCAATAGCGACGACGTCAAACCTAATAGCCATGGCTTTCAACCTAATAGCTTGGCTGGATTTTTTTGTTATCGCTCAAAGGCACCCAGGGTCTAACGTTTGACAATTCCGAATGCTGTGATTATTTCTTTTCAATTGAGCATGATTGTCTGTAGGATTTTATCCTGTCAATCGAGATGATTGTGTTTGGGGTTCTCATGAATCTTGCCTTTTCATGGCTCGCGCCTCAGATGTCAAGGATATTTTGTTTGATCAGAAGAGGTGAGACGTTTACTAACAAAGTGATTTTCATTTCCTAAATGGAGGCTACTCATAGTAGCATGGTGTGTATTGGAGAAGATTGTTTTGTTTGGCATGGTTTGCTTCCTTTGTTTCTGGCCAAGCATCCTTGAACCAGGAGGGAATTCAGTATTGCTGCTTCACGAGCTCCAGCAGGGCGAGGCGCGGTTTCTTGGACCTGCCATAGGTTGTTTGGTTTTTTGGAGATTGGTCAAAAAACAGCAAAAAACGCAAAGGGATCAACAAAACAATAATATACGGCTAGTTGTACGCAGTACACGGCTTGTCACGGAACGGTCGGTAAGTGGCGGCTCGAACCGCCTCCTTTCAGGACAGATGTAGGGGGTCGAGCTTCGCCGCCATGGATGCCAATGACGACATGGCATTGGCATGCAGCTTGGCTGGACTGTCCACCTAGAGTCACGGAGAAGGCAGGGTGGACAGTTACCAGGCTAGCTGCGCTGCAGAGTCGTACGAGCAGAACGTCGAGGTGAACGTCCTGCGATGCCAGAAGGTGCTGGCCACGTTTGTCAAAGAGAACGTGGAAAACTCGGACCCGTTCGACGAGACGACAGTCGTGCAACTCGTCAAACAGCGCGTGCAGGGAATGGGCTGCGCGCAAGAGCAGTGCGACGAGCAAATGATGCGCCTTGTGACGTTCATGCCAGGGCATGACGCTACCAACAACAACTGCTCCAGCAGCAACAGGCGGCTCAACAGCAACAAGCCACCCAAACAGCCTATGTCCCGTCATCCACGACATACGGACCAATCACCCAGGCTTTGCGTACATCAGCATCCGCCCAACCCTACCACCACTCAACCCCGGAATTTCCTCCACCACCGCCCCCTCCCCGATCCTCCGCAGCTACCCCCACGTCGCTGACCACGGGCCTTGTGATTTTTCCCTGCTATTTCTCTGTCCACCCACCACCACATTTGCAGGACCCCCCCTGTTCCATCCGCCTGCAAGCGAACCGAGGAACACTGGGATGCAAACACATCGGGCGGTCAGCAATTCTTCAAGCGCATTCAGCCTACAGCCTGGAGCCGAAACCGCCAACTTGCGGGACTCCCTACATTCCAGGTCTTTCCCTGGCAGCAATGGGCGCTTTTCACGGACCCTCGGACTATACAGCTCGTTCCCTTGCCAACAGCCCAGCCTGGTACCCACCAGATCCATTGCCGAGTCTGTGTTCCTGACACATCTTGTCCAGCAGATCCGGGAACAACGCATCGATTTGGATGCTACCGCGGATGCACTTCACCGCTCCGAAGGGGCAGGACTCCACCATCCAAAACAACTGACGCACGAGCCTTCATGCAGCTACTGATGGACGTCATCCTGGCCACCATCCGTCACCACGCTCCTGCCCTGGCTGAGGGCAGTGCCGTTCGGCAGCTCCAAAGGAAGCCGAACTTCAACGAGCAAAAGAAAAACTACAAGCCCATGGACTACACTTGTCCCCGCAGAAAACTACACCACGGCGTCCAGGCACTCACTCAGCCGAAGCAGAACCATCACCCTTAAGTTCTCCAGCCGGACCACCCATCCTTGAAGGATGACGTCCCTAGCGGTCAGTGCAGTATATCAACACCTGGGCCAAACAGTTTGATGAGGTCATCCAGGACTCGGCTATCGAAATTCTCAAGCTCCTTCAGTCATCGGGAGCCACTCAAAGTCAGCTTCAAGAAGCAGTTGTGCGCTATGGTATTCCACTTGGCAAGGTCACCCGCTTGGGCATCCGCAGTCTGCAGCAACTGGTGGCCATCGGGGCTGCCATGGCCTGTTGACTCGCTCACACAGCTTGCCGCACTACAACAGATCCGCACACTCCACAAAGCACTCCCACACACTCTTGCCTCTTCACCGTGCCACTTATGTCGACCGTGCTGAGGCTATCTACGCCCTCGGACTACTCCACATCACAGCCCTCTTCACATTCCCGGATCCCACACCTTCCGCTCCAAACAATGGCGCTCCCGCCTGAACAAACTCAACGTCCGCCCCGGCACCTATACGTTCTCCCGTTTCCTCTCACCCATTTCTGTCTACATCAAACTTTACTTCAGCTCCCACGACACACAACGCCTATACCACCAACATGGCCATTGCTACGTCGGCTCCACGTCCATGGGCGTCCCAGGCAGAGAACACACCCGTCTCCGCAGAACTATCCCTGCGGTACTGGCATTCCACCAATACAATCACCCAGTACTCAACCATACACATTGCCACATACCCAGACTATACGATCAAGCGTGGATCCACGAACACCTCTTCATTTCCCAATGGCAGCCTACGCTGAACTAGCCTTCCAATTCCCAACATTTGAAGCTCATTTTGACGGCTGGCAATTCAGTAGACATCGAGCCCACTTCTTCCCACGTCTTGCCAGCCACTTTCGACTCTTTCGCCGGCTGCGTCGCAGACTTCACACCACTAACCAACCCATTCTTTACACTTCACATAAGCTCCATGCACTCACAGTCCTTCGAGACGTTACCAAGAACTCCAGGGCCTCTTTTGCGACGCGGCTCGCCACCTTCGCTCCGGCAGATACACAGACCTGGAAGTTTACGCCGTCCGCCGGATGGCTACCAGTCTCGAAGAACCAGGCCGTAGCCGAGCAGTGCACATCATCAATCAAGCACTGAAATACCGCAACCTTATGCCACCTAAAAGCAACACCCCTTTGACCATCCCTAGGCCAACACACAAAGGTGGCTCGCCACCCTTCTCCAAGAGCACAAGCGCTATGCCATCCCACTTCATCTACCTACATGCCGCTTACGAGAAGCAGCGCATGCCAATTTGCGCAGCCGCCAGCCGCCTGCACAACCACCGACGATGGGAAGATACTCTACAGACACCACCCCACCCTGACCAGCTACCTTGCGGCTGCTCCCACCTCCGACAGCTTCTACACTCGGATCATCCCGAAGAACACCTCATCGTGACTCTGGAAGACTTGCAACTACCTCCACATCTCCACCGCTTTCTCAACGCCAACATGAACAGCGCCTTCTTTCCTACCAAGCGCCAATATTTTGACACTTTTCGCAGTGCTACCATCAGATGGCTCAAACACCACGGCCTACCCACCACTTTAGCCATCCATGCGGACAACTTCCTCACCACACAGTGGCAGCACCATCTTCAACGCCTGCATCAAGAAGACAGATTCACCGCCCGCTCCGTCAAGCAGTTGCGACAATTTCTTGGTGACAAAGTGGTTCTACACCACGCCGATCATGAACTACAGCGTCTTCGCATCTTCTGTCCCCAGATCTACTTCCGGGGATGCTTGGCAACCCACCTGAACTATTTCGACCACTGCCAGATGACACCGAAGAGACCATCCGACACACCTTTCCAGCGCACCTTCGCAGGCAATACCGATGGGGTTCCAGGCCAACTTCAATATGCCCTATGGAGTGGTGCGCTTGAAGGCCAAAAAACATTGGACCAAAGGCGGTGCGATCATTTCCTACTTCAAGTCTCACTACGGCCCTTTACTTCGAGTCACATCAAACGTCCTCAATACTATGAGCTTTCGTCTACTTCGCCAAGCCCCGGGCTGGTCAACTCTCCATCCCCCAATACCATTTCCATGAATACTTCCACCACACTCCCGACCACATTGACCTCCATGCGGTCAATGATGACTGGTAGGCTTTTTCAACTCCGTATCGATTGATTGATGCAGTTCAAAGCCTGGCTACCAAATGGCAACTCACATTCGACACTCCCACCATTACCGCGGACATCCACACCACAGGGGACCACAGACGACCCCCCCGCCCAACGCACCCTCAACACCAACGACGTCACTACTATAGTGGCCCTAGCTCTAGACTCATGACGGGGGGCAGGGATTGGATCCCAACTCTCACCCGCGCTCTGCAATGTCGCCATCCCCCTCATTGAGCACTCGTGGCATCAACTACATCATTCTCTGAACCACACTCAGATCCACTTCGTTTACTACCGGTACGTGGACAACCGCTTCATCGCCTTCAACCAGACCTTCCTTCCCCACGTGCCCGGATTTCTTTGGCGACCCAGTGGAGTTGGAACCTGTGGACGACATGCATCTACTAGGCTTCGAAGTGGGCCCCATTCAGCGAGCCATCATCTACATCCCACCCAATGCGCCGTGGAAGATCAGAGACCACGCCTCAGCCGGTTTTCAAAGACTACGATTGTCTGGACTCCTCTCCAGAGCGCACCTCATCCACAAGTACACCTACACGCCCTCGGCCATTGAGCGAGCGCTTGCTCAACTAGCTGAACTGTACGTCCAAAAAGGACATGACCTTCACCTTTGTCAGCGAGCACTACGAAAAATGTCGACGTGGCCATACCCACTTCTGGTTTTGTCCCCTACCCTTCCTCCCCTTTCCTTCCTTTCCTTCCTTCCTTCCTTCCAGGGAGCGCCGAATACGGCTGGGTGTGTGTGTCTGTCAACACCTGTGTCCAAGGTCTTTCACTGTTTTACCTTTCTTTCTTTCGTCCGACATTCAGCAGGGGGACCATCCATGTGCTGTGAGCGATGGTCCAACGAAGCGGCCACAGCACATGCGGATATCTGGCCTGATCAGCCAGACGTACCTGCATCACATGTTTGAACGTTTTTCAAGCTGTCCACTGCGGTGTTTTGCAGTAACCGACTAATGAGCTGGGAGAAAACTTGTTCAAACACCTTCAAATAAGCGGACTTCCTCGCCTTGCGGTTCTGCATTTTTCCGTTCTACCAAGTCAAGTGGAACTTCACTGCCGATTGAGCTCTTGCGAGCAACTCTCTAAGTGTGTGGCATTTTGTTGGGCAGGTAGTCGCAGGTCGCACTTTGGCAAGAACCACAAAGCCTCCCCTGCTATGACAACATGCTCCCCACCATGGCGTGAAAACAATTGAATGACATGTCATGGTGGGGATCACTCGAAGTAAAGCAATTTTGCATCCGCTTTGTTTTGCCATTCATTCCTCAAAGAGTTTCTGTCTGTCGTACCTGCCCACTCCTGACTAAGATTCCGGGTGTTGATGCTTTTTTGGCATTCTTGACCTTCAATCAAAACCGTTACTGTAATTGTCTCGATTCCCTCGTTGATTCACTCTCAAGTTCCTTTCGTTTCGTTCTTTACTTTCTTCCATCTTTGCCGCAATGGAATAAGTAAGATTGTATCACAAGAGTCGAAAACTCTTTTGCTGGGCATTTGTTGATCATGTTGACTCTTCAGGTGGTGCCCCAGACCTCATTGACCTTGACGGGAAGAAGGAGTCAGGCCACACCTTGGCCAGAAATGATTTAGTGATAATTCATTGACGCATTGTGTACATTCAACATGTTTTTCCTGTCCGATTAATGACTCGATTGTGTCGAAAGCAGAGGTAAAGCTCCATCAGCGACCTCGGCCACTTCCCCAGAACGCAAGGACCCGTGTCTGATGTCGGATCCTGCGAAAACAGAATTGTCCGCGCCAATGCAACACACTACGCCGTCATTGTGTGATCATGGACACCTAAAAAATACGGGGCACCCTTCACACAAAGGCCTTCGCTGCCGTGCATGTTCACATAGGTTGAACTGGGTGATTTAACTGATGAAAGGATCACTTTAGGCACTTGGAAGCTTTGTCTGAAGTCATCTCAAAAGAGCCGCCCACAGGACGTCTCCGCGGACGTTAGCCCTAGCTCAGAGCAAGGTGCGCTTAAACCTTTGTGCTCAATGGATAGTTTTTGTAAATGGATCGCTGCATTTTTCAACACTTTGCATAGGGCGAACTAGCGTGGTGCAGAATGCCAAGACAGCTTTCTGTCCGATGCCTGGCTGTATATTCAGACACATATGTTCTTCGACAGAGACAGAGACTCGGGAAAATCTCTTGCGCCAAGAAGTTGCTGGCCCCAAGGTCCTCGAGACATCATGATGGATGCCTCCAACAATTTTTCCAAGAGATACAAACAGCATGTTCTCATAGAGACCGTTCAGCGCTCAGATCAAGGTCCTTGTTGCAAGAGTTCTTGTATGCCAGAGTCCTTTTTCCCAAACAGTTTACTGTTGGGGTTCTATCTTAGAAAAAAAGAGCTGGCCACACTCACTGGCCGCGCCCTCTTTGTCCAGGCCTTGTCCTCCTCTTGTCCTCTGTGGCTCTGTGGCGGCTGGGCTTTGTCTTCAGGCCTTGTCCTCTTGTCCTTGTCTTGGCCGCGCCCCTGAAGTCTGTGGCTGGTCTCTGTGGCCCGGTTTACTGGAGAGGAGTGTGGCCGAACAAATAGCGATGTCAATGCCGACAAAAATTCATTGATGAAGCAGTTTGCTCTTGCGGTGAAGGTAGGGCGTGCCAAGAAATCGACTTTTGACTGATATTGGTCTAAGCGAATCGTCTTGAAGCTGTTTGGGGTCTATGCTTGTATAGTTTCTTTTGCAATGTGAGCTGTGTATTGGTCTATCAATCAACTGAGTACAAACTCTATCCATTCACACAGAAAGCAGTTGGCAAATCAACCAATTTTTTAAAACACTGTTTCCTTTGCCACCTTCTGTTTGTTTGTGTGTGCATTTGCACCGTTAAACCTAAGCCGAATGGCCATCAGTAGTGGCATGCAAGGGCGCAGCAATTTCTTGTTCTCTTGCTTTCAGCTGCCTCTGGATTTTTCACGCGGATAGGCCAACTAATAGGCCAACTGAGGGCCGTGTTTCGGTTTTGTTACGTATGCTGAGTGCTGTCTGTTGTTTATCTTGCATTCTTTCGTCACAGTCTTCTGCAGAAGAGCATCTTTTTTGAAACTAGCAACCAATTGTCCGAGCTGTTGGCCTCATCGCTCTCACGTTCCTCAGCCTCGGATGGAATTTGTACCTTGTTGCTCTCAAAAAACGTGAGGCCCAGGACTACGAACTGGAGGCCCCTCAGGGTAGAGGCCTTGGAACGAATTACTGTAAGTGTCAATGCCATTTCAAAAATGGTTCATTGAGGCCCCACATCTTCCACCAATGGAATCCATGTGGATCTTCTGGATACAGCGATGACAACGAAAGGCTCACTAAGTCCGGATGCCTCAGTGTCTCAAGCAAGCAGCTGCAGCTTCACAATAGGCAAGAATGAACAATGGTGTTTCAAGGTGCACTTAAACACCTCCGACCGGCGGCGTTAAAGCTGGGTGTGGTGCCCAAGCCATCTTTGTGTCCTGTCATTTGTGTGCGTTCGTCCTGGCTGCAATACGCTAGAAAAATCAGCTCTTTCAGGTCGGACACGCCGCGCAGATGAGGAGATAGGCTGACATGAACCATATTGTGAAGCAGGATTCATCACAACCGAGGGAGACATTTCTGGAACCTCCTCTGTGGCACGGCCCACGCTTATTTGCACCGCTCTGCCCGACAAGTACTTGTACTTTGCAGGCTTAGCAAGTTTAGATAAGTTAACGTAGTATTTACGTTCATATGTATGTATGTGTGTGTATCACCACGCGCGCCAGGATCAAACTCGAGAGACGAGCCCGGTGATGTACTAGGCTCACAGACCTATGTACAAACGAAAATCCCCATGGAGAGAGAAAACTCTCGACATGCAAGTGAGAAGCGACCTAAAGCAGCGAAACGTCCCAGGATGCCAGCGTGCGGCCGGCTCCACATTCGGAAACTTGAGCGAGGTGCATGAGAGCATCATTGCCAGCGTACACAGATGCGCCAACTATCGAGCCTTGTGGCGTCGTACGACCTGCAGCTTTGGCCAAAGACTCAGAGGCAGACATAGTTCCCGGCACAACTTGAGCTGCGTCTGAACGACAAAGCAAGACAATGGCGCGACGAATCTTCTTGTGGTAGTCCAAGTATGTCAGATCATGGCCTTGAGTATCAAATTTGTGGCCCAAGTGGTGGAAAAGCCCAGTCAGTTCGCAGAGTGAAGTGACCTCATCGTCGCTGACCCGCCATCGTAAATTGCGGAGGAAGGTGCAGGTCGTCTCCCAATCTTCTAAGGAGCCATCCCACGTTCTAGGCTTCGGAAAGGAAAGTGGAATCTTGGGCTTCCGAGGGAAAGTATGGATGTCAGCATCCCACGCCCATTGTGGGAATATCACCTGGTAGTGCTCGAAATCAAGCTCAGGTTCTGGCTCCGGTAAGCTCAAATCCTGCAGTGGCGACGACGTTGGAAGCAGTTCATGGAGCTTAGCGAGCCATTGCTGATGTTGTAACGCGCCACGGTCAGCATCATGCTGAAGTTGCGGGTGGACTGAAGAAAGAGCAGAGGCAAACGCTTTCGCAGTGAGCTCCGCAATTCTATTACGCTCAATGTCTCGAACAGTCGTTCGCCTGCTTGCAGCCATAGCAGGCGTGATTTTTGCTATGGGCAAGTGTTCAAAACAGTGAGCTGGGATCCACTGAACTTGAAAAAGGTGAGGATGTTGTTGTTTCCGCACCCGGGTCAGAGCACTTAGGCAGCTCCACCACTCCTGGCACATCCATGATGATTCAACATCACCGGTTTGAAAAAGATGTTGAGCGTGCTCAACAACAGCCTTGTTGTCGCAGAAGATGCGGACCCGAAAGGGAGTCAGCAGGCACGCTTGCAGGAGACCCCATAGCTCAGCAACGTATGAAGACAGCGAGGGGTAATTCACAACACCCTTCTTACAGACCTGCAAATTGATGTCAACAACCGCAAAGGTGGCAACCGTAAGCCAAAAACGGTTGGCCCAAAGCACCGAGGCATCAGTCCAGAATTCGATACAATAGTCTGGCTGGAAATGAAAATTTACAGCCGGCGGAATCGAACAAAGTAGTCTTCTTCGGGCAAGGAACCATGCATGGTTGCTCCAAAATACCCAAAAGGGCAAAGTTGCTTCCAAGTTCATGCAGGGTAGGCTTTCCAATCATAGCATGGACACAGCGCTCATAGACAAGGTGGGACATGCACTCCTTAGCCGAAAGGCAGAATCGACACTGGGAGGAATCTGTCCATCCTGCGGCTGACAACCTGTCATTGGCCAAAACACACCCTGCGACAACCGAATGGAAGCGACGTGCTGGAGAGATGGCAGATTGCTTGCAGTGTCACTCATGAGGAATCGTGTCGTGGCTCGAAAGTCAAGCAGTCCTTGAGGCTGAACAAAATCCTTTCGGGTTCGGTGATCAACACTTTGGTAGGCAGCCTGTCGAGCCAATTGTACTAGCAAAGGTTTGAGTTCCCGTGGTTGAAGTTTGTCCAAGGCAAACGGCTGAGAAGCAATTGTAACATCGAGCACCGAACAAGCATGTTGTAACCTCGCCCACAATGAGTGTGGCTGCGAAGGGGCGTTGTTCCGTCCGGTGTGGTTGACCGTGAATGGCCTGAACCAACCATTTTGCTCTCCATTTGGGTTTCCCATTCCACAAAGCACGAATGATGGCATTTTGGATCTGTCCAAGTTCACCTTTTGGCAAGGTGATACGAGCAATGACTTTAGCGCAGGGATACGGAGGGCCCCAATGTTCGCAATGTCTGCCAAAATTTGCCGACGGACACCCAAGTCATAATGGAAGGCTTTGCGGGAACATGTATACATTTTTGTGCCGAGTACTTCAAATTCCAATTCAACCGGGAATTCAGGAAACAAGGCGCGAAGGTGTTTGCGTCCCTTAGAGTGGGATGACCACATCGAGGACTTATCCGGGTTGAAAAGCTGGCCAACAAGCTGATCCCAGAAGTGCGTGATCTGGATGGCGGTCCGCAAGTCATGGATCCGATTCAGCTAACACCATAAATACGAATCATCAACGAAGGCACGAGCCCAAATACCTGGCGCCTTGCCAATGTTTCAAGAGGTGGTACCACACTTTATTATACATGTTCAAGGCAAGGAGGGACAAATTGCAGCCCTGAGCGACCCCGTTCGCAGCGGTGGTTGCGATCGGTCGCATCCAACTACGACATGCCAGGTGGCGGTGAAGAGACTGGTAGAGCTTGAGAAAGACGTTCGCCAGCTGTTTTGGCAAACCGAAGGCTACAATGGGGCTGTCCTTGATCTTTTCAATCTCTGCTTTGGTGCAAAGCCGAGAATCAACCTCGAGTACGAGCTCGCGCATAGCTGGTGTGGTGATCTTGCACTTGGGCTCTGGCAGCTTGTAAGTGCACTTGCCATGGAGGACGATCAGCTGTGTGAGCCTCTTGTAGGATAATTTGGCAGCCTCATCATACATAGCAACCTCGTACGAGCCTTCAACTTTGGCTGCAAGGTGAGGGAGGTGCATGTTGTCAGTGACGGGCAACAATACAGCCAGATCCTGCTTGCTGACCTGCTTAATTCGAAACCTCTGAGAGGAAGGATTTGGTGAGAAGCACAATTCCGCCACGATTGGGTCCAAGCTGAAGACGGTGAGTTTGCTGGAGTGCTGATCCGTCAGACCCGATGAACGGGACGTCAGGCTGAATGTCTTCCCATTTGCATTGAGCTGGTCGCGGAGGTTTTCTGCTCCATCAATCGTTGACACACGGTGGTCGACTCCCTTGGCTTGGGTGCTTGGCCCAGCTGCATGGCTGGGAGCTGACGCAGTGGCTACGGGCTGTTGCACCGAGCCATCAACTTGCACGTCTTGGACAGTACCAGCAGCATAGTATGTACCAGGAAATCTATTGGATTTGACCCTGAGCAGAAACCGATCACGAATGTTGGCTGCGAAGATGACAAAGTCCGGCAGGCCTTCAGCTCGCATCCATGTGTTCCTGGCTTCTTTGCGCACTCGGGCAATGAGTTGGGCATGTTGTCCTTGGCTAAGCATATGGTCATGCGCCTCAAGGGGAGGTGGTGTTTGAAGCCTAAGTCGGTAGAAGAGGTTGGCAAGCAGGTAGTAACCACAAAGATCCCGTGGCATCGTCTGGTCAACGAAATCGATGGCAATGCTCTGGCGGTCAAGACCAATCTGGCGCAGCAGCAATTGAATCAGAGGAACATAAATGCCTCGTTGATGTACTGGTACTGCTGCAATGAACATAGAATCTTAGAATCAAAACCACGTCGATAGCGCTCGAATTGGAGCCAATGGTTGCATGTTGTGAATAACCAGCCAGATGATATGATTGTATGTGCCGTGCTCAGGGAACAGCCCATTGGGGAATTCCAAGCCACGTGTGGTCAAATTCCAAACCGCTGGTGCACAGAAAAGGGTTGCAGGCTGAATGATCCGAGCAACGTCAAGGGAGAAATCCATTTCATCCGAGGCCATCCGTCCACTGTAAGTCAACATGTGCTCGAGTCGGTTGGAAATTCGCTGGGTGGCTACTTCTTCAGCCGTTGGCGGAAGGGTAGGCAAGGCAGACGACAGTGGCTGTAGCCACACTGGGAAAGCGGCAGCCAATTCTTTCTGAGGCAGAGGGTTCTGTTGAGATTCCCTGCGTGCGAGGTAGATCAGAACTTCTTCCGCGGCTATGCAGCAAGGTGGACCAATGGTGGCGGAGCCTGGCGGAGCATTGTATGTTCTCCAGTCCTCAAGAGCGCATTCCAGAGTCATAGTGATGATGTCGTGGAAGCGATCTGCCACACCAGCAAAGGTTTCCGGCTGGAAGTCATCTGCAAGGTCAAACTGCTGTACCCAGCGTTGCACTAACCGCCATCCACACAGGTGGGGCAGATGTTCTTCATGTTCACTTGATGTAGTCAACCGGTGTGGTGCAATATCAAGGAGTCGGGCAACCGCAAAGGTAGCTGCAGCCTGAAGATGCCGTGTTGGGCCGCATCAGCGTTGCGATGAATTTCAATGGCCGCCCAGTGGTCGTCAATCAAAATGCAGATCACATTGGTGGTGTTGTTGTACAAATAGAGCTCTCCAAATGGTGACAGAGTAAAGTCGGAGTCCGCCTGATTCCAATACACTGGGGCAGTGAATTTGAAAGTATCCTGCGTGAACATGAGATTCTGTGTGACGCTCCAAAGCTCGTCAGCAGCAATCCACCCATGTGTATTGCGCATGTATTCAGCCCTGGCTTGGAAATCAGATCCAGCACGCAAGGTTGGAGTGGCGCCTGTAGAGAGATGATGCCATCCTGCTCGAATGTCATTGCATCTCTTGAGGCATAGGAAGGAGCCGGATTGCAGCAAACCTGATAGAGAGCATGCTGATACGAAAAAGTTGGAAGCGCATTCAAAGCCGGGCCAACAATCGTATGGAGCACTTGCTTGTCAGGAGGAATGAGCACAGTGACAGCAACATCATCTCCAGCTTCAGGTTCAGCGTAGACATGGAGGATCCGGAAAGGCACACTGACCTCTGTTTCTGAGTCAAAGGCATCGATGTGCATATGGAATAGTTGCATCCGCTACATCTCCCAACAAAGCGATCTTCCCTGCAGGATTCCAAGGGTCACGGACCTTGAGGGGACATCTGAGTTTGTCCATGTTGTGTTGGGCACGGCATAGCTGGAGAATGGTTTCATCGTGATCGACAAAGACCTGGCGGCCAATGGTGAATCCGAAACCAGCATTGGGCAGCCATTCCGCTGCCTGACTCCAGCCACAGAATGCTCCACAAAACAAATGAGTACACTCCCATCCAAATGTGCAGTCTAGCTCCGGCCTGAAATGAATCGAGGCCAACATTGCAAAGTTGTACACATGCAGTTTGGTTGAGGAGACCAAAGGTCCAGAACAAACCACCTGTACTCCCGGACGAATGGGAATCGATCGCATAGCAAGCTCAGGCACCGTGATGTTCACCAGCTGTGGAACCATGTCCGAGCTGTGGAAACCTTTGCCAGGTGGCCTCGCCAACAATGAAGGCTCGTCCACGCACCTGCAGCGGGAATGGTGCAGTCCATATGTCCTGGAGCAGCGAGCGGAACTCAGTCCTCGTGGATCCAGCAAGAATTGTCTGCCAGACCCAGCACGAAGGAGGCACGGGCCTCCCCTTATTGACACTGGTTGGTGTCCGCACACCCAACCGGTCCTGGGCCCCCGAAAGCCCGAGCCTGAGGGCCTTTGAACCCCGCGGCTATGTATGTGTGTGTATATATATACACACGATATATTACTATATACACTATTATACACAAATTATGCGGATTTGGTCAAATTGGCTGGCCAGGTGAAGTGAAAGAGGCTGGGCTGTTGCGGCTTTGAGAATAAGAGGGCACAAGAAGGGTTTGTCGGAATGTCCCGTTATTACGAAAGCCAGCTGGTAGGGAGCTGAAGTTCAAGTGTCGGTGACAAGGGGTATAGAGCAATCTTATGAGAGTTGGTGATGCAGAAAATGCTGTCGGCATTATCAGCATCCGGGATAGACATTAACTAGCTGAAGAAATTTTAGACGATGAACAAGTCACTTCTTCAATCCCTTCTCAGGTTGGACGCGTGTATTTCATGGTGCATTCTGGAAATTTATATGAGAATTCTACACTGAGATGAGATGTGTTTGCAAATGTGCACGATGTATTTGCGGTCTATTTCCTGTCCCCCATATATAGACCCATCTTGCACTTTTGGGTAGAGATAGCCTATATCCAAATGACTCTGACATCACTGTTGCCCTCAATTGGAGGTTACAGCATCTGCTGGTGGGGCAGAGCACAGGCCACTTGCTTTGAAAACAGATGACCACCATGCATCAATTCGATTAAAAGCAGCTTCAGTGGAGTGCTGCATGAGCAGATTCACATCACAGATGCTTTAATGAGGCTTGATGGCGAGGGCACTGGCCCAGTCACCAAGGAGGCCGGGCAGCAATTGAGGTGCATTGTGTGAACCTGCACCTGTATCCCTTGTATCCCCCAAGGAAATTGAGGCTGCCAAGAAGGTGCGATAATCTGGGAAGTGTTGTCTCTGAAATATCGTGTGCTTTTTCAAGGGAAAGATGCGTCGTGGATTCAGTCTCAAGAATGATCCGCACACATTTGCTGGCCAGGTTGAGAACGTTTAGCCATTCTAGGCTTCACAGCATGGTCTTTTGGACAGCAATGTCTGTTGGCTGTTGCAAACAGGCTTGGACTCTTGAAAATCCAAGACAGGAAGGTGCTTAGCCAAGTCTTGGAACTTGTAGTTAATATACTTGATCAATCCAAGTTACAAGTTAGAAGACTGACACCTGGACAGAACATGCTTTTGCAAAAGCCTTCCAAAAGGGCAGTTTCACAGCCAATTTGTAGCAATGATTGCTTGTTGGTGCACACCATATACACAGTGCGCGGGTTGGAAGACTTGTGCAGTCCTACTGTTCTACAGTTGCACACTTGCTTCTTCACATAGCTTCAAGCCAAGCTAACCTTTTCATTTTGCCTTGTAGATGAAGCTTCCAGCCTGTACTTTTCATAGCAGTGCAGTGGTTGGATCAGACCATTGCCTGACCCAGTAGCAGGGTGGTTTGCGGCATACAAAACGAGGAGGAGCTTTGCCGTCACAAATGATGAACATGTCTTTCCCGCCAGAATCCATGTCCATCGTACTGCACACACAGTGCAGCAGAATCATTGGGCTAAGAATGTTTCCTTTCCGGTCTTTGCTTCTGCTTTTCACTGCTGGCATCAGGCCATCTGGAAGCACTTCTCCAAGCTTCTGTTATTGCAGTTCTCAACATGCAAAGCATTTTGGGCATATTCAATGCTGTTATGATTGACTGAACATGAGGGCCTGGCTCTCCAGCCTGAGGTCAAAGTGATAATAGCTTCTGGCAAGCAAGGCTCCAAGCAGTCTGAACGAGAGTTGCAAATCTCGGACAAGAGTTGAGTGCAAAGCCCATGCACCTGCTGACAGAGCCAAAGGATGAAAACTCTCGTGTTCTCATTGCACTCGCTCACTTCTTTTATCCTCAACTAAAACGGGCTTTGTTCTTGCTGAGGCCCGGCTTGATGACCCTAATGTGTCACCAAACTTCCTTTACAGCGGCTTCAGGGTTGGGTGCCCTCCGAAACGCTTGGAGAGAGCGAGCAAAGGCCAAAACAGATGGGGTAGGCGCAGGGTGGATCGACATTTTCAGGAGCTTGAGAAGCGGACTGATTTCAACTTGTCGAATGCCTGTAAGACTCGCAGCTAGTTCTTAATTCAGCGCGCAGCATGTGGGCTGCATGTTCTTGTAGAATGATTATGCTTCTGAGGTTGAGGCAGATCCCATGCAGGACGGCATGGAGGTGCTTCGAGTGCGGGCCAAATCAAGATTCAGTGATGGCCTCCAACCTAATTGCTAGCGCTGGCCTCCTACTAGCGGGCAAGAAAAACCAGCGGAACCATTCATACCATGCAGCTATTATTGCAAGTCTGAGGTAGGAGCACAGCAACTGGTGGAGGCCGTGCGGGAATGCATCGTCTAGTCAGACAGAGGTTTGTCGAAGTTGTGTGCCTTGGACCTTGCCAGGTGTTCCACACGGATCCCAACTCCATCATTGGCAGCTTTGGCCACCCGTAGCGAGCTTGATTTATCCACGCAAGATGGCATTCCAATACATGTCAAAACAGGTGCAGCATGCCTGTGGCAAGAACGACTTCCGCAACCAACCTTTTCATTAAACAAGACCTCAAGATGCCTCTGAAGGTTGTTGCTGCCAATCCGTGCTGGACAGCAGGGCAAAGAGATCCTGGCTGCCTTGCAGGAGAACAGATAGAAACTGCCTCTAGCTACCAACCTAAAGCCCCTCGATCAGAGTGAAGTTGAGCCAAACGATTGAAGGAAAGGGCGAAAGAACAAGGGAAGAGAAAGGAAGCGAGAGTAGGCGTCAGTCAACACGGAAAACATGGTAGACCCCGATCGAATCTAGTCATTAAAGGTTTCAATGCATCTCTCTATATTCCCAACAGCAGTTTGTCCACAGGTCTGAAACCTCGGGTGCTGTGGTTCGCAGTTTCCTGGAACCCTGGGTGCTGTCTGGAACCTTGGGCGCTGCCTGAGCTGGGAGTGGCGCGCAGTTTGTCTGCAGCTGTCTGGAACTTTGGAGGGGTGCGCAGTGTTTACAGGGCTTGAACGCCGGATTGTGTGCCGCATTGGGGGGGCAGACCACAAGAAAAGCATTAAAAAAAAAACAAGAGGATCAACAAAAGAATAAAGGATCAAACACAACATATTCCTTGATAGGCCTCTTCTGCTGCTCTCCTGGCCCTGTGGTCTGTGGGTCCTCTGGTCCTTTCCTGCTCCCTTGCTCCTTTGGTCCCTTGGTCCTCTGGTCCACAGGCCCTTTGGCCCCCTGGTCCTTTGGTCCTGGTCCGGTCCCGTGGTCTCGTTTTCTCCTTGTTCTTTCACTGATGCTTTTTGATGCCTTTGGTCCTTTCTCTTGTAGCTTATTGGCCGCAGTTTTCCTGCAAACGTACAATGCTTTTGGCTTCGGTTGCCTTAGGTCCTTTTGTGCACTTTTAGATGCCCTTCACTGAAAGGGCGATAGGGTATATAGTTTCTAGTGATTTCTTTTGTGGTGCTGTTTTTAACTTTTGGTTCGCTTTGGGGGGGGAGGCGCTGTGCCCTCCCCCCCTCCAGCACCACAAAATCTGCACTCTGCACTGCGCCCGCCATGAAAACTAACTATGTAAAGGGTCGCCCATCGCATTTGCAGATTGTCCTCCTCTTGCCCTTGTCTTGGCCGCGCCCCTGTCTGTGGGGCTAGAATATTTTTTGATTCCCTTTTTATGTGTTTTTTGATCCCCGTTGAATACTTTTTGATTTCCTTTTTATGTTTTTTTTGATCTCTTACCCCCATGTGGAGCAGCCAAAAAACTGTACATAGTTTATTATCTGTTTGATGCATAAGTAAATAGATAAATCAACATAAACAATTAACACAAATCTATATCTATATTATCTACATATACCTGTGTGTGTCTGTGATTTAGAAACTATACACATGCATGGTGGGTGAAAAGGAAAGGGAACGGGCGGCGGCTAGAGGCAATCTCTGGGGCTGGGAGTGCAGTTTGTCCACAGTGGCATCCTGGTGTCTGGGCTGGATGCAGCGGAGACACGTAGCACACTGCGAGCCAATAAGCTGTTGCGCTTGCAGAAACGTCCTGCTAAGTACACGTAACTGCCTGCGGCACGCGGCGCGTCTAACTTTAGCATTGGCGCGCAGAAGGGAAGTTCTGCAACGGAGGCCACAAGCGCAAAGGCTGTTGCCGGCGCAGAAACCATCCCTGGAGGTGCGCGCAACTACCTGTGGCCTTGCTGCGCGTACAACATGTTCGGCTTTAGTCGAGACAAAAAGCATATGAAAGCATACTACAAGTGCAGAAGCTGTTGCGGTTGCAGAAAACTGACGAGGTTTGAAGGCACCATTCTGAACGCTGCCCCTAACAGCAGCACCAAGGTGACAGCGCCCAAGGCCTGACAGTTAGGCCGGGCCAGATTTCGGACGCCGGCAGGTCCAGAGATTGAAACCCAACTGTGCCCATATTCAATGACAATGCAGGTTGAATCAGCCTCAAATCCGGACAAACTGCAAAATCTAAAGCGCAAGCGATCCCCCAGGTTCCAAGGTCGGATTCTAAGCGTCGCCGCAAAAATCACGGTCTGCCTTGCCAACCGAGCGCAGCACACGAGGATAGAATAGAGTGCACCACCCCCAGCCCAAACAGCACGCAAGGCTCGAGAGGTTCCACTCATGATGAATTCCAGTTTTCAAGCCCTGTCGATGTCGATTCCAAGACCACGACGGAATTGCGGTGGTGTCCAGACAGTCAGGAGTCAGGAAGCACCCAAGGTTCCAGACAACACGTAGGGTTCCGGGATTTTTGCTGGTTTTCAAGCCCTGAGGGCCGTAAACAGATTGCGCGCCACTACCAGCCCAAACAGCGCCCAAGGTCCCGGACCCGGCTTTGGAGCGGCGTGGACAAAGCGCGGCGCTCCAAGCCCAGACAGCGCCCCACACTTGCAGGATGAATTCCGGCTTTCAAGCTGCGCACCACTCCCAAGCAGAGCAAACATGTTGTTGGCGCAGGAAGCAGGCTGTTGCTTGTACCTAGCAGCGCGCTTTTTTGGCTGGCGACAGCTATTGCACTGGCGGTGAGCAGCAGTTGCGTGTACCTAGCAGCGCGATTCTTCACCGGCAGCAGCTTTTGTACTTGTAGCGTTATAGGCGCATCTTTGCCGCAGGCAGAGGCCTGTACTTGGCCGGACGCCTGGTCTACGCCGCAGTTTCTTCGGTTGCGCCGCTACAAAGCAATCTCTCATCATCGCAGCGCCAAAACGTGTTGTATGCACAGCAAGGCCCGGGGTAGTAGCGCGTACCTCGCAGAAAGGTTTCTGCGCCGGCAGCAGCCTTTGCGCTTGTAGCGTTTCCGCAACCGAAGCAGCTTGTTCGCTCGTAGTGTGCCATGTGTCGGCCGTTTTGAAGCAGTCTCTTTTTGTGGTGTGCCTCCTGCCTCCGTTGCGGAGCATTCATTCTACACACCATAGCGGCTTGCGTGTGCCTAGCAGGACGTTTTTGTGCCGGCGACAGCTGCCTCGAAAAAAACGTTTTATGCGCAGCAAGACAACAGGCAGTTGCACGGCAGGATGTTTGCGCGCTGTTGCTGTTGTGGTGTGCTTCTGTTCCTGTTACGGTTCATTCTTTCTTCGCAGCAACCTTCGGGGCCCCATAGCGCGGCAGGTGTTTGTACGTACTTAGCAGCATGCCTTTGTGCTGGAAACGACGTTTTTGTTCTGATGCGCTTTCCTCCTTCCTGCTCCGAACCTCAATTCCTGCTCCCGTTTTTGCTCCCGCTCCCAAGTTCTCTTTACATCTCAACAATCGGTTGGGGCTGCATGGGAACTGTGGCAACGCATATTGGAGTGTTTGAAAAACTCCAAGCACGTGAGTTGCTATCTGCTGTTGCGTTGCAAAGCTGGGTCAATATTTTTCAACAGCAGAATGCAGTTGAAAGGTTTCAACCTTTTGAGCGGGAATGGTCAACAGTTTGCTTCCGGCAGCCGAAACCAGAATTCCACCTTGCAACCTTGGAACCCTGGTTGCTGTTATATAGTAGGTGCTGTGATCAGACTTTCACCTTGGAGCCATGGGTGTCATCGGACTTCCACCTTG